CTATGAAAAAGAGAAAAAGAACTAATTAAATTCATCAATCTGTTCCTGCATCCAACTGCAGCCTCTGTTTCATAGTGCCATATCTGATAACTTGGTCCTCCATGAGTCTGACCAGCCAGGGTACAAGGAAACCTACTGTATTCCATTGATGAAGCCCAGCAGCCAGAGGAACCTTGACCAGAAGAAAAATACGAACACAGTCATGCAACCTTTTTCAGAACACAGTGCATTACCTTTTTGATAACTAGTATACCTTATGTGTGTGCAGCAAATGCATGTGTATTCCAAACAAAGGACAATGTATGCTGTGGCAGAATTCCACTCAAGACGTAACTGCTCCAAGCAGTAACAATTTTGGTCACCATGGAAAATTTTTAAAAAAATGGTAGCTGAATTTAGTTGACTAATAAGTTTTGAACCCCTTTGTGCTTTGTCTTCATGTCAATTTTGGTTTTGAATCAAACATGCAGTGCAGCCCATTTTTCAAAAGTCAGATTTTACCAATGCTACCAAAGCTAATCCAAGTTAAAAAAGTTCATTTCACAATGTCTGTTTGATCATTGGTTTTGAATGTTACCTCCAATAACATATACAGACAATGGCATCACCTAAACATGCTTAATTTAAGGATTTGGTAGCATGACAATCTTCTATCAGTGAAGATCGCCAACGTCTTGGACCTTTGTACTCATATTAAGTTTACTATTATTGAGACTACATGTAAGAAATAAGTTTTTCCACTTACTCTGAGGGTGACTTGTCTTATACTTTTTAACTGGAGTCTGAGAGCCTGTCTTGTGTTCCAGTAATGAAGGTGGCCTGTCATGATGAGAGGAGCCTTTGAAAACCAAAAGGAGTTATTAATTAATATTTTGAAAATTCTACTTTGTGCCTACAATGTGCTAAACAATTTGTAATTTTTTTTTTTTTAAAAAAGTGCATGGCCTTTGAGGTTGAGTAATGGTAATAATGATGGAAGCAATGATTGTCTGTTCTGTAAATTTGCAATAATATTGTAAACTTGTCTGATTATTATAATTACTCCAACTCAAATGACTGCATTCTTCTGACCCAGCGAGTAGTCAAAATCATTCTACAATACAGAGCTTGCAACAGGAAATTGCAGTAATACATTGTTTTCCCACTCACTCTGAGGGTGACTTGTCTGATACGTTTGAGCTGGAGTCTGAGGGACTGCAGGAAAAGGCAACTGCTTGTGTTCCACTAATGAAGGTGGCCTGCCATGACCAGAGGAGCCTTTGAAAACCAAAAGGAGTTTATTACTTTTAAAATTCTGCTTTGTGCCTACAATGTGCTAAAGAATTTGTAGAACAAGGTGCATGGCCTTTCAGGTTGAATAACTACAATAAATTTGCAAATAATTACTGTTTGTTATGTCATTTTCCAATATTGTAGACAAATTAGAATTACTTCAACTCACTCTGAGTGTCCTCCCTCATAATTGAGCCATTCATGAATCTGACTGGCTATGGCAGAAGTTAAATTACTGCCTTCAACTGATCCACACAGCAGTCAAATTAATTATACCATACAGACCTTACACTATACAACAGAAAATTGTGGTAATATTATTTTTAAAAAATATGTTTTCCCACTCACTCTGAGGGTGACTTGTCTGATAAGTTTGAGCTTGAGTCTGAGGGCCTGCAGGAAAAGGTGGCTGACAGTATTTCAGGAATGAAGGTGGCCCACTATGACCAAAGGAACCTTAAAAAAAACATAGAGAGAAATGCTTTAAAAATACTGCTTTGTGGTTGCAAATAACAATATTGTACATGTACACGCTAGATGATTTTTAACTGAAGGTTTTTACTTGTTTGTTATGTAATCTTGCAATTGTACACATCACATTATCATAATTACTTCGGCAACTTACGCTGAGTGTCCTCTCTCTGATAATTGTGTCTTTCATGAATCTGACTGGCCACAGCAGAAGGTAAATCACTGCTTTTCACTGATCCAGACATCCAGCCAGGGGAGCCTTGGTCAAAAAAAATATTTACAAGTTTAAAAATAACATTATAAGAAACAAATTTGCAAAATAATGTACAAATAAAAACATAAACCACAATGTGCACCTTACCCATAGAATTAAAAAAATATATTATTATTATTATTATTATTATTATTATTATTATTATTATTATTATTATTATTGTTAGTATTATTACTACACAATCGAACTCCCTCACATAATTTTTTTTCAACTTGGTTCGATTTTCTTCAAGTATTGAACTGATTGAACCCAATAGTTTGATTAAGTTCAATTGGGTTCGATTTAAAGCTCAATTACTGAACAGTTTGATTAGCAATGTTGGGCATTGGAGTACACTTTTCTATTCTGCGAAGCATTTTAATTCTGATCAGTTGTATTCAGGTTTCTGTAAAATTTACCGTGTTGTTATATTACTCCAGTAAACCTGCTTCTCTAATTTACATTTTATTTTTGTTGTGAGTTTGGCTTAGTTGTGCATACTGCAATAAAGAACCTTTTTTATTGCCTGTAATTCTCTATCTGCAAATGCTTGTCCCAGCAGGGGACACAAAATTGCAGTAGCAATTACTTTTGAAAATAACAAA